GGGGGGGGGGGATTGTGTCCCCTGCCTCCCCATGCTCCACAATCCGTGGCAGGGAAGTGCAACCCCTGGCTGCACTTTACCCCACAGTAAGGCCCAGCCCTTGGAGACAGGTCCGGAAAAATATCCACTCCAGGGTGTGGACCCCCAATCCCACCTGATCTGTGCTGTTCCCCTTAGTTCCTAGTGACTGGGGGATATAGGCCTCACCCCTGGAGACTGATCAGGACTCCTGTCCAGGGTGGCTGCCCCTGGTACCACTCAATCTTATCTACCCCCCAGGAGGGCTTCTCTACTGGTCCCCTTACCCCTAGATTTAAGTGCTTCCCTGCCACCAGAATTTTGCCAACACTTTTTGTGTGTTTTCTGTGTGGTACCTGGCATAGAACCTTGAAACCACTACCAATTGGAAGAGTTTATTAAGTTCAAGTTTATGGTAGCATAAACTGATGTTAATAAACCTCAGTGAAAATTACATATATGCCCTATGAAAGCACACATACTGACCTGTTAGCAACAATCATATCTCTGTTCTTTTGTCACACAACGTTCAACACTTCAATAAACTTTCGTACTAAGTAATGGTAGATACTAGTTCAAAGTACAAGAAAGAACAAAGAACAGTAGCTAGTTGTTCGATGACAATGTATCCTTCTCCTCTGGCAAAGTCCACCGTAACTTACATGATATACTTTCTAAACTCCACAAAGGTTCCATTCATAATATCACATGCTTATCATGAAAATGCGCTCCTCTTTTTGCCGTACACTGTCCTTTTCCAGTCAGTTCTCTTAGGGCTTTGGTTCATTCACAACAGAACGTATATCAAGCAGATCATTAGTTTATTTCTCTACATCTATAGTATCTTTAAGATTAATCATTCATCTTATGGTATTATGCTGGACTAGGTCTCATTCCTTCGTTAGGTTCCTGGGATGTAGAACTAGTGTCTTGCTTCCCAATAAAAGAAGTGGCAGTTGATTTATAGAACAACTGAGTGAAAACAAAAAGGCTTTTTCAGGTGGAAAGTTTTGTAAAGTTAACTAGAATAATAAACATTCTGTATTAACGGAGTGTCCATAAAGAGGGTTAAATTTAGAGAAAACTTAATAGCTAAGAGCTAGGGACAAGGAAAAGCGTCCGTAATAACGAGGTGTCTGTATTAAGCGGGTGTCTCTAAAGCGGGGTTCGTTGAATGACAAATTAAAGCAATTAGGGGACACAAAGTATCAGCTATTTCAGTGTTATTTTTTTTATTCAGCTATTAGAATTGTCATTTTTTATAAAAAAAAAATTATTAACTGATTTTATAAATATGCTTGGTAAATACTTTATTAGAGATTTGAACACAAAAAGCAGTTTTAACAAAGTTACTGTAAGTAGATCTCTTTAGGATTTGTATTATTAAGTCATGTTTAATGTTGCTGTATTTTAATCAATGTTATGCATAATAAATAATACAATTTGAATTTAAAATATGTCCCATGTAATGTTATACTTCTGTAACTTTATATGTAACTCTTTAATGGGCTCTTTCCATTCAACAAAAATTATGGTTTGAAATTTCGGAAATTCCACGTGTCCAATAGAACGGGTACATTCCGGTTGCACAGACCCGAACCAAGGCACCGCGCATTTGGTTATTGTTCTTGTTCTTACCACTCTTATGCCATTGCCTTCAGCTAATACTAGTCACTATACAATCACAAAGCAGTTCACCCAACTATGCAAAGTATATAATTCACATTTGTTTGTCATTTGTCAGACATGCTTTTAGTGCAACCCTTTTCTCAGGATGGCAAAATAGTGCTAAGAGCTATGCCATGTGGTAGGTTCTATACTCTGTTAGCCTCCTTTAATTTTGTACCCTTGTTTTGCAAATTGCACCCTACTATAGTATTGTTTATCTTGTTCCAAGTATCTTCTTCATGTCATGATATATTGGTTTGATGGTTTCTAGACAAGGCATTGATGCCTGAAATACAAATTTTAAAGAAATTACAACAATTAAATAATAATCATCATCATCATAACTTAGTGATAATAATAAGAGGCAACTAAAATTAAAGAGCTCTTTTATATTATTATTTTGTGTAGTTAAGTTAAAGTGTAGATTTGTTCATTTTAGTGTTACATTACAAAATACCATCATTAATGCTTTTTATGGCAATTTATAAGATTATACAGATAAGGCTCACAGGTAACACTATGCACCCTGCATAGTTATTGTGCAGTTTAGCTTTTAGCATCTAGTTAAGAACCCTGCTATAACAATTACTGCCCTCTAAAACATTGCATAACAATGCCACCAATGTCCTGGAAATGCCTTAACCCAGTTTTATACTGTAATACTAACAGTATATAGGTTCACAACAGAACCTCAGTAGAACCTGACTGTTAGTGTGGGCCTTGTGGCTTGTGTGTACTTTAAAGTGCCTATCACCTAAAATTTTTTATTTTCTTATCTGAAACTACACCTTATCAAAATAACTTCTGAGGAAAAATTTTGCGATTTGAGCCAAAGATGATTTTTCGAGAATTTTTTAAAAACGTTCAAATTTGCTGCCATTTGGGCACGTGACCTTATCGACAGGAAAACATTAAGAGTTCTGATAGGTTTTTCTTTTTCAGAAAAACTTTCTTCTTATGAAGACATTGTGATTCAATCCTTACTTGAAATTTATCTTTTTTGTGTACAGCTGGTGAAGGCAAGGTAATGCGAGTTCCTTAATTTACACCACACGACGTCATATGTGAGCTTGCTAGTTTGCATGATCAGCGGCGCAAGTGTACTGCGAAAACGTAGACTTCAAAAATTGGTAAAAAAATCGCGTTTAGTTCAAACCGCAAAATTTTTTCGCAGAAGTCATTTCAATAAGGTATAGTTTCAGATAAGAAAATATAAAATTTTAGGTGATGGGCACTTTAAAATATGAGATTGAGATTGATGAGAAATGAATATATAAGATTATTATAGCAAACTTGGTAATTGAGTACTTTTCTTGCTACTCACTTTCTAATAACCACAGAGTACTCATCTATAACTTAATAATGATAGTTACCGTGAAAAGTGGGACAAGTTGCTGATTTTTCTCTGATAATTTATTTTGTGTTTCATGATCATGTGTCAGCAGCATCAAATAAAACACAACTTGGTGCTGTAAAAATAAAATAATAACTATAATTTCACACTTAACAATTTTGAGAACTCAAGATACTTTTACACTACATCTATTCATGGTATACTATGATGTGTACAGTATCGACCATATAATGGCATGTACACCCGGACTTTTCTAAAACTGTAGACATTGGTAGTTTATGACATGTTATTTTTAATATTTTCTGTTCAAATAGTATTTTACCAACTGACATTTAAACATTATTTTTTTTTTTTTTTTTCAAACTAACACTGAGACTTTTGAGATTTTTGCTACTATAGTGACTTTGGTTGCATTTGATTGGGAAATCCAGATTGAGATTTTGAAACCCAGATATCCGAAAACGGATTTCACCTCCGAGAAATCCATCCTCAGGGTGGATTTCAATTAAGAAATGCAAATCCGTATTTCATGGATTTTCTTTTTACCGTTCAATTAGGAAATCCGAGGATTTGCAAAACTATTCTCGTGAAAAGCAGTCTTCTTTTTGCTAATTATGCATGAGCATGCAATTCCACTGTTCTTAAGGGTAGTTTTTCAAATCCCTATTCGGATTTCCCAATTGAACGGTAAAAAGAAAATCCAAAAACAGATATCTCAGCATGATCCCAGTGTTGAAATCAAATTTCTGATTTCACGTTTAATTGCAAATCCAAAATCCAGATTTTAACATCTAAATCCAGACTTCCCAATTGAACCCACCCTTTATTGGATCAGGTATGGTGCAGAAAAAATCATTCACAAACTCATGAATAATTCATAAAAAAATAAACAATAAAGTAATGTTTAAAGTTTAATGCTTTTAAAATAGTTTTTTTGATCAACTGTTTTAGAAGAGCTAAAGTTGTCACATTTTTAAACCTGTCCCTTTGGTGTGTCATTCACTCAGACCTACATTTGTGTAGACAATAGTCCATTATACCGCTACTATTTTCAGGTGGAGTTTTTGTGTAATTTATCATGCATCTCCCAATCTCCCATCAGGTTACCAAATCTCTCGGATAAAATAAACTTTTGAGCTTTACTCTGCTTTAGTTTGAAATTAAGCCCAAGTTGCCCCAAAATTCATAATTTTCTTTATTTGTAGTATGGTTTTGGGGGCATGATTGCACTTATTGATTATTTTGTCCTTTATATACAACCATAAAAGCAAATTTGGATGGTCTGTGCCTTATGTAAGACTTCATATAAATTCTTAAGCCATTCCCATTATAATTTGCAGACTGGGTCAATTTGTGCTTAATCGTTGGTGGTGGGGGGATAGTGCTAGTGAGGGGGGCTTGGTCATTTTTTTTTGGAGGGGGGGGGGGTAA